ATTCAGCTTTATCTGCAATTAGTTTGAAAAGATAATTATTTACAATATTTAAGAGAATTGACTAAGAGTTGTTGCACATTTCTTCTTCTCCTTATAAATTTCAATGTTTCCAGATCTACAAAATCTTTAAGACATTAATTTACATGTTAATTTGAAAACAGACTTTGCTAGCAGCCATGTATGATTTGTACAGTGTATCATATTGGGATGTTGTAAATATAAAAATACTATTTATAAAATGTTCTCCTTAATGATCCTTCTCTGGGAAGTTTCTCATTTATAACAAGGTTGATATACACCAACATAATTTTAGGGGTAGGTGTAAATCTGTAGATACCTGAAAGTAGGATGACTAAGAAAAGATGATTATTGTATTATACTTTTGTTCATAATGAACAGTGAATCATTTAACAAACATATATTATAAATGCAAACAGGTTTTAATAGGTATACTTATGTAGAGACAAAAGAAAATTATATTTTTCACTTCAGAGAGATTCAGTAATCTTTCCTTTGTAAGCCTTTGTATAGTAAAAGCCTGTCCAAATCATCCAGCTGGCACAAGCAAGCAGTTTGCCTACTGATAGGGTATCTGCTTGTGCACACAGGCAAACCAGCAAAGTACCTGTACTGACTGACTGTTCGGAGTCACCAGAGACTGGTAGTTTGTCCATTTGATGTGTATTAAATTTTTATTATTGTACATGCCTTGCTATCAATGTAATCTTACCTTAATACCTACAGTATATATTCCCTTCATACAATTATCACTTTATTTTTTGTTGGAGTTTAGGACATCCTGCCAAACTGCCCAATGTCCTTTATGTGCCCAACCTAGGTCATACTCGATCAAACTGCTTGGCACAATCACGCACATGTGCCAACTGTGGCAGCCCCCATAATTCATTTTATAAGGGCTGCCCCACCTACAAGTTTGTGACCGAGGTGGCAACTCTCGGATTCAGACTTGGTCTCACTCTGCGTCAAGCCAGACAGGAAGCAGGTTGACGAGGTTTTTCTCTTACTCCTTACTCCAGTATTGTTGCTTGCTCTGCCCCGCCCCCTCCCTAAATGTTCCTACACCCTCCCCTATACCTATCCCTCCTCCTTCTTACTTCCCCACTTCTATTTCCTACCTCCCCCAGTCAAATTCTTTTGACATCCTAAATATAGACACTCCAATCTCTCTTCTTACTCATCCTCCTACTACCTTCCAATGCACCCCATCCCCCCCAGCTCCAGCTCCACCTACATTAACTCTCCCTCCATTCCCACAATCCCTTCTACTCCCTCCTAGATACATATGTGAATCCCTTATGTCACACCCATACCCTTACTCACATCCTCTACCTCCTGATACTCCTGATACTACACCACCTCCCCCTCTCATTCCTTATCTCACCCCCTAGCTTCTTCCTCTTCAAATTCTCTAACACGCACTGTAACCGTTCTCACTCATAGATCAAGTAAGCTATAGTTCTCCTGCATTGGAATATTCGCGGTTGCCATTCTCACAGACCTGACCTTCGTCATATCCTTTCTTCTTATAACCCATAAGAGACTTTTCTTACCCATCCTCCTATACCAATTCCCAGTTACCATTTTCTTTGTCTCGTCTATACTTATGCATCTGAAAACATCTTATGTTATACCTCCATTTCAAACCACTGTCCCTTGCAAAGTTATTCGCATCTTTCTTCACCGCTGGATTACAGTTATTTCAGTCTACTTCTCCCCTTCCCACCTCATTGACTTTGTTGCCTTTGAATCTCGGATTTCCCACCTCTAAACACCACTCTAATAACGTTCTTCAGGCAAATTCCTTTGTGTTATTTTTTATTCCAAATTGTACTGGCGAGACCATATCTTTTACATAGAAAAAGCTCACCCTCCCTCCAAATCATACACACACTTTCCCAGATATCCTTGGGCTCATATTGCAAAACTCTCCTTCATTTTCATGTAACCTTGATCCTCTCCGCTCTTGCTTACAGATGCCATATCAACTCCTCTATTTCAACCTCCCTTCTCACTTATCTTAATTCAATCCACCACTGTCTTTGCTTAGCCCAAGGTGCCTTCCGCTCCTCTCCAGTTAAGAGCCTGTACATTGAATCAGGCAAGCCATCTCTCTCACGACACCGTACCCTTCTCTCTCTCCGATGCTATGCTTGATTCCACCGACTTTCCCTCACCAAACTACCTATCCCACAATCCCTACTTCCTACCTTTGCTTCTCCACATTTGTCAATTCCTTTCTCCATTCGCATGGATACCCTCTTCTCCCATTCCCCTTTTCCTCATCTCCGACCTCTTCCATTTTCTGTCCATTCTGTTCCCCCATGGCTTATACCTTACCTCCGTATTTGCTCCTCTTAGTTTCCTGACCCACCAAAATCAGATATCCCCCATTCAGTCCTTCTTGCCCATTTCCTTGGCCATGTCTCCATTCATTCCTTCAGTATCCATGTTTACACTGATGGCTCCAAATCCACTCCCGGTGTTGGTTTCACAATAACCTTCCTAACTTGAACTTTCAAGTGGCTGTGGAGCAATAGTGTTTGGTTGGGTTGCCATGGTATAGCACTGGATTGCTACTGCATAATCAGCGAGGCATGCGAGCAAGTCGTTTTCACAGTCTGACCAGTCTTTGTCAAGACAGTCAGTCAGAGAGACGGAAACGGTTCCGGTACAAGTATTAAGAGATGAGTGAGGTTGGGCAGGGATAGGTTTGCCAGCAAGGGCAGTCAGGGTAGATAGTGCATGAGCTTGGGACTCAGATGTGACTCTGACGAGGCGTGAATAATCAAAACGACTGGCCCAGCATATGTAGAGGTGGAAGCAGTAGAAGGGAGGGAGATGGGGTGGCATAAAGAGAGGCAGTACTGTCGGTGGGCTGTACAATAAGGATGGGGGTGGGGGTAGACCATGAAGAAGACTGTGCAGTAGAGGATGGTGTGGAAGATGTTTGCGGAGAGGAAGGGGTATATTCTGAATGTTGAGTAATAACCGGGGTGGATGATTCAGAATGGAAGGAGTTTACCACAAACATCGAGGAGGGGGTATTAGTAGAAGTTGTAGATGTGGTCAAAGGAGAGGCAGGGGTTGGGAAACCAAGGAAATCAAATTTAGATAGGCTAAAGCCCCTAATAAGGGTAGAAATCTTCATTATTGGCCATGGTGAGCCTGAAATAAATGGGGAGAAGAAACAGTTTACCCCTCAGGTCCCTCACCACAACAATGAGCAAGGACCAGAAAGGTAACAAAGGGATTACCGTGCCCAGGGGTCCTGTTGATGACTGACACAAAGCCAGCCTTTCATTCTTTCAGCATGGCTCTCACACCTTTGGAAGTGGAAGGGGATGATTAAGAGGAGAAAGAAAAAAAAGGGGGACGAAAAACGACTGTGCAAAATTCGTTGTGGTGAGTGTGGTGATCCAAGGTAGGGGTGATCCCTTACATTGAGCCCCAGTCTCATTCTCCTAAGCCCCCCTACGACAACAGCGAGCAAGGGATTAGGAGGGAGGTTCTTCCTATGAGTAACAGCTCATAAATAATACCTTTCAAAATTTAATAATACATTTTTTGGAAACATCAGCAAATGCTACCCAAAACTAGACTAGGAGGACGATAAAGATCAAGAACCATTTGCCGTATCCTAATAGCCAACACCACATCCATGGTTAAAGGAAAAAAAGAGAAATATCTCCTAATGAATAACTAATCACATAGATATCAGAGAAAAATATAAGAAAAAGACAGGTATAATACACATATTTTTAGCAACTTACCCCAGATATGCAAGATGTGTTTTTTATGTATTATTTTCCCATACTGTCAGACGTGTTTTTGTTTTTACAAACCAAGAATGAAATGTATCACTCTGGGGAAATGAGGATGCACAAGTTCTTTTATGGTTTATTATACAATCAGTATGAACTTATTAGAAGGCGGTGAATTGAGGCATGAAAGTTGATTTATCAAAATATACCTACATTTACATTTTACCATGATATATATAAATGCATTTTTGTAGTTTTGCACAATTCATTACATATTTACACATGTTATTTGTGAGTAACTGGTGGCAAAGACTATTTCTTTATACAAAGATAAGGAAAGGTCTTAAAATTATTTAAATCCTTTTAATAAAACTATTTTAACATTTCTTTAAAGATTTCAAATACATATAATCTCTTAGATAAAAAAGAAGAATATAAGGTTCTCTGCCCCTTCCAAATCATGTCCACTTTATTGCTTTTGCTTCTTGCTACTTGCTCGAATCAACTTTTCCATCTGATCCCACATTTCTGGTGTTACCTGGCTTAGCATGTTGAACTGGCCACCCATGTTGCGATATTCTCCTCCGTCAAATCCAAGAGACTGAAAAATAGAAGGGAAAAAAATTTTAATCAGAAAGTTTCTACATAGTTCAATTGTTAATATATAAAGAATGATAATAGCATCAGACACTGGTAACATTCTTGGGAACAATAAGTGATGAACTTACAGCACCAGCCATCAAAATTAACAAAATAGTTTACTTGCATAACTACAACACTACAGTCAAAACTACTCTACTACTACTATTACTACTACATGCACTACCATTACTATTATCCATATGTTGTCTCCCTTATATATGAATATCCAGACATGAATCTATTGATTATGGGCATGCATATATATATATATATATATATATATATATATATATATATATATATATATATATATATATATATATATATATATATATATATATATATGTCCATATAGACAACATCGATCTGCCCACATTGATAAACCTATTTTTAACAATAATTTATCATTATAAATAGGTCTAATGACAAGGTTCAGTACCCAATATCCTGAATGAATAGATCACTTCACAATTTAGCCTTCATCATAGCCTTGTCTTTGCTTGTGGTTTTTCGAATCCTTTCCTCTGTCTTATCCCACTGTTCTGACGACATATACATAAGACCGTTGAATTCTCCTGATGCCAAACGAAAACTGCCACCGTCCAGAGCTATGGTCTGTAATATTTGAGTTGCTATAATATCACTGCCAAAAGGGATATTGTATTTTCAATGTCTCATTCCTTGTTGGCACATGTAGCTGTACATAAAATGCATTCAATTGGGAATTTCTTAGAAGTCTTGTGTTCCATGATAATACGTTCTTCCCTTGTAATGGGGGTTCAGGAAGGGTAAGATGAGTAAATGGTCCTAGCTTATTGTTACATATCTAAGGAAACTATTCTATGATTTTGAAACTACCTTGGACTATTTCATAGTGTAATGGGTGTAAACAGCTTGTGGTGATTTGGGATTTTCAGTTGCAAATTCAGGCCATGATCCATAGAAATACTTTATTATTTTATTCCTCACAGCATGAACTGCAATATGTATTGTATGATGGAGATTGTGTGGATATAATGTATATATGAAGGGAAAGATTTTTTGAACTGGTGCACTACACTATCCATGAGAGAGTAAGCCGGAAAGTTTAACTGCATAGTTGTCAGATTGTCCAGCTCCATAGTTATATTTAAGAGAACAAATTAATAAAAGGCAAGTTATTTAAGCAAAAAAGAATACAGATTACTATATTGTGTGGAAGTACAAAAAAAATACTTATGATTTTTTATATTTTCCTTAAGAGCTTGCATTAATATGTGTGCTTCATATACTGTCTATAGTCTATTTCATTTCTACTTATTGAACAATCTCATTATTCCCAACTTTCCATGTTAGCATGCAACTTACAATCTATGAATCTATAAATCAATGTCCATTCTGTCAAAATCCAATCTCTACTTATATACCTACCTGCAAAGTCACATTATATATGCATCAACAAAGCCTTACCTCTCCACTCATCCAAGTAGAATAATCAGACACAAGGTAAGTTGCTAGGTTTGCCAACTCCTCTACTTCTCCTAAACGTCCAGCTGGGATGCGTTCATGTGCAATCTGGGTAAAGGAGCCAGTTGGGTCTAGACGGCTGAATGCACCCTCCGTCTCAATAGGGCCTGGGGCAATACAGTTGAAACGCAACCCATAACGGCCCCACTCTGCCGCAAGTGACCTTTCAATATAACATCAATGTTAAATTAATCCCTGAAACTCAAAGGTTCTTAATATCTATTTTCCACTAACCATATACAACTCTACTACACTTGCATGCTGACAGGAAAAATTCTTCAGATCTTGCAATTCCATTCCTAATTCTTTGAATTTTGTAAGTCAAGACAATTCCTCACATCATTAACTGAACACTTTCATGTTTGCCTTTGGAACAAGAAAAATGGCTATGGCAGAAGTATAGTAAGTAGGTGAGAACCAAACCTATCTGGATTAAAGACTCAAAGTAAGCAATGAAACACATCACCTCCATTCTCTTATTCTTCATTTACTGTACTATTAACAAAAAATGGGGAAAATGCTGTGCTCAGTTTTTATATTTTTTGTGAAATGTCTCTACACATAGATGGCTCTGCCTTACCTTATTTCACCTTTCCTTGAATTGGCGGGAAAATGTATTTTTTACTAGTGCTATGAATATCTATGATGTTATTTTTATTATAAACATTATAATACTATATACATTAGTAACAGCAAAATAAGAGAACAAATTATTTTCGTAAATTAAAGAAAAGGGTAAACGGGCGAGACAGGCAGTACTCGTATTTGGCTCATTGGTGTTTTAATACTAGTGTAGCCATCTATGTGTAAAAACAATTAAACAAGTAAACTCACAGTGGGGGCATGTCATCCTGTCGTGAATGGGTTAAACAAAGGCTTAAAAGCCAACATAAAAAATATTAATGAATTAATTAATAATAGAAAAAAAGAATATGAAGATTTACCTTGTCAGAGTTTCAACACCTGCTTTTGCTGATGCACTTGGGGATACAAAGCCAGAGCCACTTCTTGTGTATGTTGTTGTAATGGCCAAAAATGCGGCACCTGTGGAGAAATTACAAACTAAATTTTATATATCTCTAAAATTGCATTACAGAAAAATTTCTTCTTTGGAGGACTTTCATGAAGATCCTGAACCTACTTCTGCTTTCATGATCCTTTTTCCATTCCATTTTCTAATTTGAAAATAAAGAATTTCATATTCAAAACTACCTTTTAAAAATATTAAACAAAAGTTGTAATACACTTTACAATTAATACTTTCAAATATTCTTTAGGCAGTTCCTTGGGCCATGTGTAAGGGCAATTGAGTCATCTTTCCCTTTTTTTTATATGAACTGAATCAGTTTTATAGATTCTAGATAACTATGACAGCAATATATAGTTATCTGCATCTTAATATTATGGCAGCAAATACTCCTATACCTTGGCCTGCATTGATAAGCCGCTTGCCAGCCTCCAGTGTTACGTAAGCTGTTCCATTGAGCACTATATCTGTAATGGTCCTCCAAGCATTGGCGCTGAGTCTCTCTGAGGGCTAAAAGAGGGTAGGAAAACTTTATGGAAAATA